GAAGGGGGTGAGGCCGCGGGAAAAGAGCGGCCATAATGAGGGGGTGGACGAGCGGGACGAGGGCGTCTCGCTTCATTTCACCACCCATTCCCCTTGCTCGACTGCGACCTGCTCTAGTGGAAACGGCGGGGGGCGGCGGCGAGGAGAGAGAGAGAGAGAGAGAGAGAGAGAGAGAGAGAGAGGAGAGCGAGGCCGAAAAAGGAAAGGGACCTTGTGATAATTATGTTGCACGACTTGCTCTGGGGGCTCGGGTCGTGACGGCGAGCCGGCGATAGGAGAAAAAAGAAGAGAGAAATTCGCCTCGGCTTTCCGGCCGGCGGGCCCGCGGGCCTTCGGGCAGGGGTCACATCCTTGGCGACGACTCGGGCGACGCGCCGCGATCTGCGCGATTGTGTTAGAGGTTAGAGGTACTTGACTTGGGACACTGTGGCGGTGTGGCGGCATTGTGTTGCACCGCGCGTGGCGCCGCGCCAGCGGGGTGCAGCCAGCCACCGCCAGCCACCGCCAGCCACAAACACTCACACGTGCCCCCCACCCCGACGACACACTCACACACACGTCACTGTCACACGTCGGCGCTTCGGATTCGCGCGCCGCTCGCCCCGTGGGAGCATCGACGTTTTTCCGCGAGTCTGCCCCCGGCTGCAGCAGCAGCAGCAGGTCCTTGCCCTGCCACCCCTCCTCCCCGTCGTGCACAGTGTACCCGACCACCGCCACGGCGGCCACCCCCGACCCCTCCCTCCGGGGGCCAGCCGAGCCGGACGAACGCCGACAAAAACGGCGGCCAGGGCGACCAGCCGACTGATTCCGCACTCTGTCTCCCTCGCACCTCACTGAAGGCCACATCGACGCGCGAGAGAGAGACAGAGAGACGAACGCGATATTTGGAATAATCGTTCTACACGCCGGGCTGCGAAGCGATGCGATAATGACAGCCAGGAAATGTTGCAGAAAATCAATGCGGGATTACGCTAATGACTCGGGGGGGGGGGGGGGTGACCGCGAGGGGGCGCGTTATCAATGCTCATGCAGTTTGTTATCACTTATCACTCGTGCGGAGCCGCGTGGCTGCCCCTGCAATCTCTGCGTGCCGATTGGCAGCTGTACAGTGTACCAGTGAGTGATACGGACAACACCCGCCGGTTTGTGGGAGGCGCGCTGCCCCGCGGCTACTCTAAATCGGGCATCTTTTTTGTTTGCCCCCCGGTGCGTACGTCGCGATGGATCAATGAATCAATCAGGCTGGGAGAGATATTGGATGACGCCATCCGGAGCGGCCTTCACACCCGGCACGGCACTCTAGGGACGCGATACCAGTGTCGTGCCGCCGCGCCGTCAGGGTGGTTCAATTAGCTGATGCTGATTCGATTTCTCGAAACGGCCGGCAGGACGAGTCCGCACTCAGAACGGGCGGCCAATCGAATCGACGCGACTTCAATGAACAGCGTCGAGTACTTCTCGGGGGCGGTGGGGGCGGTGGGGGCGGCGTCCCTGGAGAAATATGCAGGGCCTCCCACGCGTGATCCGCCATCCGCCCACGAGGCCCGACGGGCGGGAGATTGTTTAGGCCCTGCACGCCCTGCAGGCTGCAGGCCCTCCCTAGGGCTTCGGGAGGTACCTCGGCCGCCCCGCCGCCCCGCCGCCTCGGAGGGTTACTGGGGCAACTGGCTCACTGCGGCCGGCGGTGGCCGCGGTCTCGTCGTCTCATTGGCCGTGCCCCGAGCCGTCAAGGCGATTTCCGCTGCGCGCTGGCGGGCGCCCTTTAACATCAAAGATTGATGCGGCTGGACAGCTGGCTGCCGTGACTGACTTATTGAAGCGCCGGTTGTCTCGTCAAAGGGTGGAAGGGGTGGCTCCCCTTCAAAATTAGACTTCCAACAACGCGGCGAAACCTGAGACTTGGCGAGACTTGGTTCCCCGTTCACTCACCTCGAGCTTGTCCGCCACGCTGGCCTGGCTCGTCACGGCGGACACCGGCTACGTCGTCACGTCAGCGACCGTCACGCTGTGCTGTCGTCACGGCGTCGAAGTCCGTCGGCTTCTGGGTGGTTGGCGGCGACCCGGGGCCGTGCTGGCGGTAACGAGCCCCATGGCCCTCACGGCCACCCGGGGGGCGTCCCCGGCGTGGTCATCGAGTGCACCGCGCTGGAGGGCGACGCCGGCCGGGCGCCGGGCGAAGCGGCGACGCGGCGGGCAGCGCGGCGGGCAGGGGCTGCTGCGCGGGGGCGGCGGGACGGCACCGGAACCGGAACGGCACCGGGAGGACGCCGGCTGACAGGGGCCGCAGGGCGGTGCAGAGAGCACGCGAGCCGGATCGGTGCAGCACCGCGACGAAGCACGCCTCCACTCGCTACAAGAGGACGCGCCGCACTGAGAGCGGCGCGAGCGGGCGGGCCGGGCCCCACCGGCCCCACACCAGCCAGCCAGCCAGGCAGCCGCGCCCCGCCACCGAGCCGAGCCGAGCCCGGCTTGGCGCAGCACCGCGCAGCACCGCGCAGCCATGCCGTGGCGATGCCATGGCGCAGCCGCACCACTCGCACACCCACGGGGGTGGCGAAGGGGCGGCGCTGGGGCGGCCGGGCGGCGGCTCGCGAGTCAGGGGCGGCAGCGCGGCGGCGGTCCGCTCGCAAGGGGCGCCCCGCCCCGCCCTCATGGCCCGCCACCCTGGAGGTGCTCGGCGCGCTTCGAGGTTAGCCTTACCTCGCCGAGTCACGTAGTCACGGCAGGCGCGGTTTTGGGGATCCCCGCGGCCGCGCCTTCGAATGCAGGTCGCCGTCGGCGAGCACTTACGGCGGTCACGCACACCCTGCTGGCTCCGAAGAGCGTGCATCGCTGTCTCTCTCGCACTACACACGGCGCGCCGAGGGTGCGTGGGAGACAGAGCTACGAAGCAGTCCGCTGATGCAGTCCCTCGCGAGAACAATGTCGCGCCCGATTCGCCCTGCCCCCTTCATACTCCTCCCCCGCCCTGCACACCCTCAGCTCGCCAGCTGTGTCTCGCCGGCCGGCTGCGCCGCAGGGGCGTGGGTGGACTCGGACGCCGGGGCCACACCGGCACGGCACTGCAACTATGTTGCCGTTCCTTCCTTATTCCTTATCGTTCTCGCCCCATGCCGGGCTCCCTGACGTGGACACGCAGGCCCCAAAGGAGGCCGGGTTGTTCAAACCGCGGAGTCGCTGACCCGTTTCCCACGCACCGAGTGGACCGCGGACAGGACGCCGCGCTGAGCGAACCTATTCCCGGCGCAAATGAAGTTGTAGCGCGACTTACAATTTCGGAGACTTGTCGACTCGGCTTCTGCATTCTGCGGCCGACCGCGTCTATTACGGAGACAATTGACGGACCGCGCAAAGCCGGATATACGGGCTGTGCTGCCGAGCGCACGTGTGTGTGGGTGTGTGAGTGTGTGTGGGTCGCCGCGAGCGCGCCGTTTAGTCTAGCCAGACAGACATGTCATTGGGCAGCTCGAGTTCTGTTTTTTTGCCGTTTCGCAGCCATTCTGTTTCACTTTTCTAGTGGAGGAGAGACACATGCAAGACCAGCGGCGGCACGACGGAGCGGTTCGTAAAGTTAACGACGCCGACAATAATTGAATTCATTATTCATGGAGGAAGGAGTGCGCCTCCAGATGGCTTCCAGGGGACAAGGAAATACGGCGTCACTAAATTTACCCCCCAGTAATGGGAGCAAAACGAGCCGCGTTCGTTAACCTCCCTCCCTCGCCGCTGGTGTCATAGTGTAGCGGCGGCGCTAGACACGGCGGCGCGCGCTTGCACCGCCCCGCCGCGGCCGAGGGGCTGGGCGTTGCTTCGCGATGCTTCGCGTCGACGCGGCCCCGCCCCGCCCCGCCCGGCGCGGCGTCCGGCGTCCGGCCCGACTCGGCGGCGCGGCAACCAAGTTTTAGCGAGCAATCTCCCGCCCGCGGCGTGGCGGGGCGGGGGCGTGGCGGGGCGGGGCGGGGCGGGGTGTGCCGGGCTCGCGCCGGCAGCGGGCAGGGGGCGCACGGGAGGCAGGGAGGGGTATTGATCGCGGGGTCCAAACAAATGCAAGACGAGGGCGGCGCGTGGCGGCGGGGGAGGGGCGGGAGGGGAGGGGGCGTAAAGGGGGTGATTTGCGGAAGGGGGAGGGTGAAAGTGCCGGTGGCCCGGCGAGCGGGGACACCGCCCTACTTCACACATACACACACAGACGGACTCACACAGACAGGCGCACACCGACAGCACAACTGCCCTCTCTTCGCGTTGTTCCCACGCCTTCTGACTCATCCGTCATCCCCGGCAGTCGATGAGCCTCTTGTTGTTGTTTTTGTTGGCGACGACTCTCTTCCGATTGACGCCGGCATTTATCGCCAGTCTGTCTCTCTCCTCTCGTCTCGTCAGTCAGACCGATCCCGAAACGGTGAAGTCTCTCTCGCGCCCTCACACTGAACATACTCGTAAGTGCGAGAGAGACACAGAGACGAAAGCGCCGTTCGGAATGTGTCTGCTGGCGCTGCGCCCAAACCAACGCCGACAGAGTCGCGGACCGCGGACGCGTGCCTCTGCTCAGGCGGCCGAGGCGAGAAGTTCGAATGCAGGCAGGCAACACGCTCGCACGGCTGCGCGTCGGGCCGGCCTACCTGTCGGGCGCTTCTCTCTCTGTCTCTCTGTCTCTCTCTCTCTCTCTGCTCTGTTGCCGACTCGCTTCGCGAACCTCTCCCGCCTCGGATCCTCGGATCAGCCAACGCAACAATCCAATCCGCTCGCTTGTTTCCCGTACAGTGGGCCGACGCGAAGGACGGCCCTTCGGACGCGTCAGGCTTGCCGCACTTGCAGTGCAGGGTCACGACGGACGGGGCGCACTACTTGGCGGCCGCGACCTCCACGGCACTCGACTTGGCACCCGAGTGTACTTAGAAAGCGCGAGTCGAGCCGCCGGCGCCAGAGACCTCTCGAAGTCGAACTTCGAGACCGAAGGACCGAAGGGTTAAGGACTCGCCGCGCCGGGCCCAGTCGGCGCCATGGCCGCGAGGAAGCTCCAGGACCTGCAGGTGGTGGTGGAGAGCAACGCGGACTGGACGGGCACGGTGCTGGCCAAGCCCGCCCTCAGCGTGGTGGACGTGTGGCCCGAGTGGGCCGGACCCTGCCTCGCCATGCGAAGCCAGCTCATCAGGCCAGTGGAACACCGACGAAGTTCACCTGTTTACCACATCGAGGTGGCTTACAGTGGTCTGACTGGCGCGCAGGTTCAAGCTGAAGGAGGCCGGCGACGACCTCCACCTGTTCTCCGCCAACGCGTCCGCCATCGACTGCCTGTCGCGGTTCCGGGACTACAGTGAGCCCACGTGGATGTTCCTCGGCAGCGGGGAGCTGGTCAACGTGTACGTCGGCTGCAACAAGCCGCGCCTGCTCAAGCTGGTAACGTCGCCGCCAGCGCCAGCCGCAGCTCGCGGTTTTAATCAAAACTTTGCGCCACTCCAAGTTATCAACTGTGCGCGGAGTTGTTAGCTATCTGGCCGAGGGTGCGATTGGTGGTGCATCGGCACAGGTGCGGACGGAGCTCCGGAAGGAGCAGCGTGTCCTGAAGGGGCTGGCGCGCCGCAAGGTGCTGCCCGCCGACAAGATGTCCCCCGCGGAGTGCGAGCGAGCCGCCGCGCAGGCCGCCAGGGACTTGCAGGCGCGCCAGGAGGAGAGGGACCGCGCCGACGCCGCGCTGCGGGAAGTGCGTCTGCGGCAGTACCGCCGCATCGCCGACCAGCTCAACAACTACACCGTGGTGCTGTACCTGCCGCACGCCCTGGAACAGGGCCACCTGCCGTCGGTAAGTGCCTTGCAGCGGACCTCCGCTTCTCCCTGAAGAGCGCCAAGAGACACTTGACCCGCAGGTGGCCGAGGCCCTGGAGGACACGTGGCGTGCCATGGGCATCCACGTGGCGGTGGCCGTGCGCGTGTGCGTGGCCGAGGAGGCCGCCGACGAGATCTTCTGGGAGCGGCGCCTGCCGCAGCACGCCGCGCTCGTGGAGAGCCTCCGCGCCAACGGCGGCACCTGCATCGCGCAGCTGCTGCGGAAGGGACGGCCGCCCGCGCAGGTTGGAGGTGTTGCAGACCGCGGCCATGGCGGGTGTAAGGCAGTGCAGCAGTGCCCCCGTGCCGCAGCCCGAGTACTCCCCCATCGCGGAGGACCTGGACGACGAGGACGAGAGCGAGGACATCGGCGGCCAGGGCGACGCGCCGATGATGCCGCGCGGCCGGCGGCAGTACGCCGACGACGAGGAGGAGGACGACGTGGAGGTGCCCATGCGGCCCGGCCTGCTGGAGCGGCTCGTGGCCGAGACCGTGTACGGCTTCTACCCCGGCTCGGCCGCCAGCACCCCCGCCAGCGTCACCAGGAACGACTCCCTGTCCGAGTTCTTCTCGCCCGTCGGCGGCTCGGGCCTTGGCTCGGGCACGGGCGGCGCGTCGCCGCTGCAGACCTCGCCCATGCAGTCCAGCACCACCATGGGGCAGTACCGCCGCAGCACGGCCAGCTGGGTGCGCAAGAGCGTCATGAACCTGCGTGACCAGCCGCCCGTCATCCGCGAGCAGGACGAGGACGGCGAGGGCCAGGACGAGTGGGACGACCACGACCTGGCCGAGTACGAGGGTTGCAGCCCGTCGTACGGCAGCCACTTCGAGCAGGTAGGACTCGCTAGCACACCCCTCCCCAGGACGCTTACTTTCCGAAGCACTGCACACCGTCATCGCCTTCGCAGACGTGGCCGAAGGAGCTGCGGCCCGTGGTGGACAGCGCGGCCGCGGCCTTGCTGCACCGGTCGTCGGACACCTCGCTGGTGCTGCCGGGGCTGTGGGTGCCGCAGACGCCGCTCAGCAAGGCGGCCGCGGTGCGCGTGCTGTTCCCCGCCTTCGCGCTGCGCTTCTACGAGCCCGAGGAGCCGCCCGCCCCGCCGCCCGCCGCCACCGTCATGTGCTTCCGCGCCAACAAGCGCGGACAGGTCCTGGAGGCGGCCGCCAACTTCCTGGACGACATAGTGCACCTCGGCTTCTTTACGGACGAAAAGAAGCTGCTGGCGGAGGCGCCGGGCGAGTACGACATGCTCCGCGTCAAGGTAGATGGCGGAATGATTGCGCCGGAGGACGCATCCTGGCGGTGTTTCACGGTGTCCCTGCTGCAGGAATTCCGCGACCGCCTGGTGCTGGCCATGGCCACCTGGCGCAGCGACGAGCCCGTGCTGGAGCTGGCGGGCTTCGGCCCCACCTACATGAGCCCCACCGCCAAGCAGGCCAGGCTGGACGTGGCCGAGTACTTCGGCGCCAACGTGGAACGCGCTGCGCCGCGCGTGCGGGGCGGTGCGGGTAGCGAGGGTGAGGGCGAGGACGAGGAGGACGAGGAAGAGGACGGCAGCATGCCGGCCCCGGACCCCCAGCCAGCCCAGCAGGGCCTGCTCATGCTGGCCCGCACACAGGCGCGAAACACGGGCCCTCCGGCCAGACCTCCGGAACCGCCGCGGGGGCAGCAAGGGTGAGATTGGGCCAGGATTGGTCGGGATTTTTTATTTCCCACGTCACGCGAAAGAGGTTGGTGACATTTACACTGTGCCAGCAGTGCCCCCAGCGGGGCAGCGTCGCGGGGCCCAGCGTCAGGGCGGGTCACCCCGTCGCCGGCGCCTGTGGCGAGGGAAGGCCCAGCCGCGGAGGCGTCCAGGAGTAGGGCCAGCCTGGCGACTGCGGGGCCTAGAGGCAGCGGCGCGGGGGAGGGTCGCCGTCGAGACTCGCCCTCGGCCTCGGCGTCGAGGAGCAGGACCAGCCTGGGCGCCGTGTCCAGAGGCTCCAGAGGGTCGCGGGGCTCCAGGACGTCCAGGACCCGCAGCGCTGCCGGGACCCCACCCCGGCTGTCCGGCGAGTCCACGCGGAGGGCGTCGGCCACCTCCTCGCGCGGACAGCTGTCCCCCGTGCCGGAGCTGGCCGTCGACGCGCCCCCGTCCAGGACGCCGTCGAGGACGCCGTCGGCAGTGCCGGTGCGGAAGAGCAAGTCCGTGCTGAGTATCGTCGCCTCCCCCTCGGCCACGTCGGCCACGTTCATCAAGGTGTCAGAGCAGCTGCAGCCGCTCGTGCAGCACCCCAGCAGCGAGGTGCTCCACGTCGACGGCGACGTGTCCGGGGCGGCCTCGGCGGCCTCCTCCGTCACGCTCAAGGCCGCCTCGCAGCACTCCGTCGTCCAGACCAAGGCCATCGCCATCCTGGCTGAGCCGGGCTCGGACGAGGACCGCTGCGAGTCCGCCGAGTCGCGGGGGCGAGCACCGGTGCCGGCACCAGCGGCAGCGGCCTCAGGCCCGACAATCAGGAGCGCCGACCCGTCGGACGACTCCCTGGCAATGTTGGTGTCGCTAGGGAAGAAGTGAACCACAAGCTGGAGCTAGTTTTAATTTGTTTATTTTATTTTGTACAGGACACTTGATTTGTTTCTTTGTTTTCAAAGAACTTACATAATGTAATGCTTTCAGAGAAGTCTTAGCTTAAATAGGACAATATTGGTACGTAACATGACTGACAATATTTGTAAATATTAACATTCATATTTTTATGACTAATGTAACACAATATGACAGTTTCTGTGTTACGTTATATAAAGAACTATATTTATGGATAGGACCCTTTAAACAGTAGAAGTCTTTGATTTGTCTTAGAAAAGAACAATAAAAATAAGAGACAAGACGATTACAGTCTTTCAAGAATACTAAATAGAGCAAGTAATTATGATTGCTGGATAAGTGATAATGTGTTGTTTGGAATGTCATCAAATCCTAAAAATGAATTGATTTGTGATGTGTGGCTTTACAAAACCACTAACGAAACCCACAGTTCTTTTTCTTTTCATGGCTAGCCCCCAGTTCTTTCAATCTTTGGCTAAAGTAGATAGTACAGGGAGAAAACAAGTGAAAACACAGCAATATTCTTAGCTTCAAATCAAAAAATATACATCTAAAAAACAAACAATAACAATTACAACAAATGTACATGAAGTATGATTAGCTCAATATTTCATGCCAGCCAGTTCTGATATTTGTTCACAAGTTAAAAAAAAAATCAATTTCAGAAACTTATGGAAATTAAGCCATAAAATAAAAACCACTTTGAGGCTACAAAACTTTACAATTTACTAGAAAATGTGGAAGAGAGCTTTTGAGGAACTCAGAAAGTTCAAAATATCATCACAAAACTGATTTATGAAGAAAAACAATAATTACGGTAAGAAACAAAACATATAGGGTTTTTATAAAAAATAGATATAGGATAGAGAAGGACGAAATTCATTTGTAATATTCACTGAGTCACTCATTTCAAGAGGCGTTTGATCTCTCGGTTCTGTCGCTGGATGGTCACATCAGCCCGATCAGTTTTATCATGAATTCTTCCAATTAGATCATTTTGAGACTCAATTTCTTCTCCTAGCCCCACAGCAAGTCCCTTGAGTCTAGTCAGTGATGAGCCTACCTGCAAGTACAAACAAAACAGCGATATGTTACATGGATCTCACTCTTGAAGGACGACAGATGTAACACAAAACTTTGAAGCTTACCTCATCCATGTTTTTGTCTAAGATGTCATTAATATGGTTGAATCGACTTTGGAGAGGGTTTGAAGATGTAGGGCTCCTCATGTCAGATCCATCATCTTCATCTGCCAGACCTCTTATTCTCAGTCCTGAAACATATCGCATTCACAGACAGATATTTGGATGGAACAAAAAATGCAATGATTCCAGAGGGCAGTCTACAAACCAGGATGAGGCCCAGTTGACTCCGGTTTTGCTTCCATGGCTTCAGCTAATTTTAGACTAGCTGTGGAAGGATAGCCAGATCCACTCGCTCCACTGCTAGAGCCTGCCGAATCACTTGTGGTTGGTTTGGGATCTCCTCGACCACTGAAATAATTTTTCAAGCTTCCAAAAACACTCTGTAAATATAGGTCAGAAATTAGAAAATAGAATAATAAAACACAAGAGCAAGTAACTTTATTGAAAGAAATCAACCTTTATCCCATTGATGTTCTTCTGGCTGTAGCGAAGAGTTGTATTTATCTCATCGAGGTTCTTTTCAGTGCGTTCCAGCTTTTCACGTTGAACCATCAGCTCCTGAAAGATTATGCAACAGATGGATTACAGACAAGCCACATGGGATCTTTTCGGGTAGACATGGAAATGCCTAAAGGCGTGTTCAAAGGGCAGCGCTCAAGAAAATGTGGTCAGCACCTGTAAGCTGCTGAGATGCCACAATAAAATAAGTAGAAACTCCAAAAGAACACACAAACAAAAAAATTCAGTCCACTAACCTCAGCAGTCTTAACACCAATGTCCTCGGTCTCCCTCAAAATGCTGATAGAAGCCTGAGCGGACCTCAGGGCACGATCTTCGATCTCTTTAAGCTTCTGGGCCTGTCTGGAATTCCTCAAAAAAGTGTCATCATCGACATCCTCATCTTCGACAGAGAAGAACGAATTGTTGGGGTTGCTCAAATAGTTTCCTCCTGCCATAGTTGAAGATCAGCACTTGCGACAACACAGGCACAGAACTGCGACAGTTGGACTGCTGCACTGGGGACGAAACGTCAGATGGAATCTAAGTTGTTTTGGTTCTGATTGAATGGAGAAAGAATGTGTCAACGAACGAAACGATATGATGAATCACCATAAGGTGTCCACACGGCCGTCCGATCCGCCTCCAATGACAAGTATGAGAAATTTAAGGCCGACTTCGACTGGAATATGAAAAATAATGTCTCTTTTTGGTAGTAATTCTTTCTGCTAGACCATGCACTCGCAGGTTAAATTTTGTTGCTGAAAATTAAGGTGATTGAACTTAGTTCCGAGTGACGCAACCTATATTCATAATGCTTAGGACATTTAAGGTTGACAAACCCTTATGGGTTCTTTCCAAATTTAAAAGGAACACAGACAAGGTACGTTTGTTTAATCCGTTAAAGTGAGGTTAATATTTCCGATGGATTGTAATTTTTGTTCTCCACTACCTTTGATAGGTTCCGTCACTATGTATGTCCAGCAAATCTAAGTTCGCTAAACATAGTACGCTGGAAAAAATTCGCAACATAGGTATATCAGCTCACATCGACTCAGGAAAAACTACTCTAACAGAACGAATTTTATACTACACCGGCCGTATTGCTCAAATGCATGAGGTAAGGTCACCTGAAATGGTTTGAAAAAGATGACTTTTTGACTTCTGTTTTGTTTTATTTACTTATTTTGTAATGTAAGGTGAAAGGCAAAGATAATGTTGGGGCTGTAATGGACTCAATGGAGCTGGAGCGCCAGCGAGGTATCACTATTCAATCTGCCGCTACATACACTTTGTGGAAAGACCACAATATCAACATTATTGATACACCTGGTATGTCAATTATTAAATCATCAAAACTCATCAAACTAAAGAAAATCATTTGTAATTGTATTTGCAGTTATTTTGAGCGTATACTAATATGTTTTTGCCCTTTTGCGGCTCAGGTCATGTCGACTTCACAGTGGAAGTAGAAAGAGCTTTGAGAATCCTTGATGGTGCTATTTTGGTCTTGTGCTCTGTGGGAGGTGTTCAAAGCCAAACACTCACAGTCAACCGCCAAATGAAGAGATACAATGTTCCATGCCTGGCATTCATTAACAAATTAGACCGCATGGGAGCTGATCCATTGCATGTATTGAATCAAATGAGGTCTGCTCTTCATTCTCTCTATTTTTAAAAATTGTTTTGAACTTGATGTACTTTTTATTTTTTATAAATTGATCTTAACATCTACATTTTCAGATCAAAGTTACAGCACAATGCTGCTTTCCTTCAACTTCCAATTGGTTCTGAAGGTGCAACAAAAGGCATCATAGATCTCATTGAAGGGAAAGCTCTGTACTTTGAAGGTGAACATGGGTAAGAAAGACAAAGAAAACACATTAATTTATAATTTATTTATTTTTGTCATTTTAGTCCTAATTTGTACCTAGCTTTACATAGTAATTTGTATTGGTGTTTTCTGATTTCCTTATACAGAGAGGATGTAAGACAAGATGAAATTCCAAGTGATCTTCGTGTTATGTCTGACGAGTATAGGCAAGAGCTTATTGAACATGTCTCCAACGTTGATGATGTTCTCGGAGAAATGTTCCTTGGTAAGAATTTGCTTCTCACGTTTTGATTATTGGTTGGAATTCTTCTTGCTTAGTTAGTTATGAACCCTTTTTTTCACATTCTAGAGGAAAAAACACCAACTGTACAGGATATCAAACAGGCTATACGCCGAGCCTGCCTTAAGAGAGTATTTACGCCAGTGCTTGTGGGAACTGCTCTTAAAAATAAAGGTGTGCAGCCACTTCTTGATGCTGTTCTTGATTATTTACCACATCCAGGTGAAGTGGAAAATGTTGCTTTTGAAGAAAAGGAACCGTAAGTATTAATCTAAACATTGAAATGATATGCATTGCTTGCTTACAAACATTGTTACAAATGGAACTGTTTCAGGAAGAAGAAGGGTGATGAGCCAGAAACAGTAAAAGTTGTCTTAAACCCTCAACGAAATGATGCAAATCCTTTTGTTGCTCTTGCTTTTAAACTTGAAGCTGGCAAATTTGGCCAACTAACATACATGCGCTGTTACCAGGGAAAACTCTCAAAAGGTGACACAGTCTTCAATGTCAGAACTTTAAAGCGGGTGAGTTGTAAATGTCACATCAAGGCTGATTATTTCGGAGTGCTGCTGAATTCTGATTAATTTAAACTTTATTCAGGTTCGAGCATCTCGACTTGCGAGAATGCACTCTAATGATATGGAGGAAGTGGATGAAGTTTATGCAGGAGATATTTTTACTATGTTTGGTGTTGATTGTGCAAGTGGTGACACTTTTGTAGTAGACAGTAAACTAAGACTATCTATGGTGGGTACAGTCAAATTCTTGGTTATCTATGAGCCTGTCATTCTGTGTAAAGTATATCTCTTTTCCTTTTATCTGTTCAGGAATCTATGCATGTACCAGATCCTGTAGTCTCCATGTCTATTAAAGCGGCTTCATCAACTCTAACGGAGCAGATGTCTAAGGCCATTTCAAGGTTTACAAAAGAAGATCCAACTTTCCATTACTCTTATGATGCAGACAACAAGGAAGCCATAGTTTCTGGGATGGGAGAACTTCACCTGGAGATTTATGCTCAGGTGCATAATTTTTGTCTAAATATTTGAATAAACCCGACACAATTTAAGCTTTTCTAACACATTGTATGTTTTCAGAGAATGGAGCGTGAATACAACTGTCCTGTTATTCTGGGTAAACCAAAGGTGTCTTTCAGGGAGACCCTAGTCTCCCCTTATGAATTCAATTACTTGCACAAGCGGCAGAGTGGTGGTGCCGGACAATATGCTCGTGTGATTGGTGTCCTCGAGGTATGTACTAGCTAAATAACAAGAGTTCTCAGAAATATTTTATTGCCTTGGTTGTTTTAACAAACTATCCTAAATGTTCCTGTAGCCCCTTCCTCCAGAAAGAAATACCATCATTGAGTTTATTGATGAAACAACTGGCACAAATGTTCCAAAGCAATTCATGCCCGGTATTCAGAAGGGTCTTCATCAAGCTGCCCAGAAGGGTTTGTTGATTTTTTCTGAAATTCCTCAGGGAGTCATTGACAGTTTTATCTTTATTGTTAATTTAAATTAATGAAAATTATTTTACTTCAGGAGCTTTGACTGGGCATAAATTGTCTGGTATAAGGATGCGCTTGACTGATGGTGGACATCATATTGTGGATTCTAGTGAATATGCATTTAGTCTTGCTGCTATTGGGGCGGTTCAGGATGGTGCGTCACTCTCATCTGAAGTGAAGTATAACACCTTAATCAAACATTTGAATGAAATTTTAAAATTTCTACTTGTTTTAGCTTTTGAAATGGGTGTTTGGAGCTTGTTGGAGCCGGTCATGAACGTAGAAGTTTCTCTGCCAGTTGAGTTCCAGGGTGCTGTCATGGGTATCATTTCAAGAAGGTCTGGTATTGTTGCGGGCAGTGAAGGAAAAGAGGGTTGGGTAACTCTAGAAGCTGAGGTAAAATATCTGCCAAATTATAGACTTATTTTAGAAAAGTGTGTGTATGCAACTTGCTGATATTCTCATCTTATTTCTTGACAGGTGCCTCTCAATAATATGTTTGGGTTTGTTGGAGAGCTGAGGTCATTAACGCAGGGTAAGGGAGAATACAGTATGGAGTATTCACGTTATGCCCCCGTTGACCCACAACTACAAGACAAGCTAGTAGAAGAATATCAAATTAAAACTGGTGCAATTTCGGATAAGGACTTGGCCAAAAAGAAAAAGGGCAGAAAGTAACTAATACGTATTTTTTTAAAATGTCTGTAATTTTCATTTTCCACAAAGGCCAACAAGCCGAGATAAGCCAAACAATCCTAGAGGTATTGTGTATCCATGTTGGTTTGGTAGCTGATTCTCTGCATTGCTACAATTAACCACCCGATTCTGATAGAGTAAGAGGAGTAATTTTTACCAAACAAACTGTGATTTGTAAATAGTATAATCAATAAACTCCATGTATTTCTCACGAAACGGCCGTATGTCTGATCACCAGAAAGAGGCTTTGCATGTCACCTCTTGCCTCAGCTGGAGGAATTATGTATTCCCATCCAGGTAATTTTCAATTTGTTTTCAGCAGCAAATCCACCACAGACATTAATTTGCTGTGTTACCTAATGATTAGGAGGTTATTGGGAATTAAAAAATAGAGCTTATACACACAACAATATTTAATATCAGAAGTAATCCCCTAAAACTAAACCTAAGGCAAATTGCTAAGTAGAAATTTCATAGGCAACACATCCTGTCCAACCATCTAGGGCAAGTGACAAGTGAGATCACATGTAATCCAATGTACCAGTAAAATTGGTAACAAGAAGAAACCCTAAAGAAACACACAACACTGTCCCTGAAAATCTACAACAGAACAAGTTGTTAGGTACTGAAATTCCCTGTACCTACAAGTAAAATTACTTTTGGAAAATGAAAATATTTACCGAAATTTGTGTTGGCACCATCATATTGTTTATTGCCTATTATTTTAGCCATGTAAAAACAGGGGCCTACAACAGACAGCCACAACACACTTCAGTTGCAAACTCATTAGCACACAGTATGTACAGAATTTACATAGGAATTGATTCACTTAGTTAAAAGCATTATATTTCTCTAGTGTCTTCTGTGACACACCAAAAACGTTCATTCTTCCCATCAAGCTACAAATGAACTACATTATCTATACTTACACATTTAATTAACAGACCAGAATTATGAAGCATAAGATAAAAAAGTGAGCTGCTGAAGTTTGTCAAAGGAGAAGGCATCTGAATTGATTTCACTCAAAGGTACAAAAGATTCCCAATGATTTGATATGATATCATTAAATCAGTATAAATAAAATTTGACATAAAAAATTGTCTCTACAAAACTGGATTGGGAGGATACTTCAATAAATAAACAACTTCCAAATCAATTTTAGTAAAAATGTTACAACTAAAATAAGTTAGATTAATATTTCTAACATTTAAAAGTCCTTTCAAAGCACACTTGAGCCCAAAGATAAATGCTCTATGCTCTCCATAATTTCTTCACATGACTTAGTGAATTTAATTAAGGCACTAGGTACCACAAGGAAATAAAAAACCCGGCAGTGTATTTAGTTCATCTCATTTATCTGCAGAGTCTTTCTTTTCCTCGTCATCGGATTTTTTTTCTTCTTTTTCAGTTTCATCTGTGTCCATTGGTTCTTCGGGTTCTGTTGGTGACTTGGAATCTGTTGCTGTTTCAGTTTCTAGTGCTGCCTCAGGTTCTGATTCCTTTTTGGGTTCTGACGCTTTCTTGGGTTCTGCTGCTTTCTTAGCTCTACCATTGGGGATGGCAGACTTTGCTGCAGTAGCAGGTTTTGCACTTGGGTCTGAGGCAAGGATGACTGTGTGCTGTCCGCCAGCAGAAACTGACTTAACAAGTTTATTCTCCAAAGCTTTACCCCTAATTTTGGTGGGGACCCACAGATCTGAATCTTCATCACCCATACCGAGTTGCATATTAGAACCCATACCCCAACTGTATACTTCTCCTGCAAGAAGATGAAATTTATATTAAAAACAGAAGACACTAAGGTACAAATCAATACAAAAAAGCAAAGTATGCTATGACTTACCATCATCTGTGACTGCATAGGACACATTACCCTCACAGCTAATGTCAACAACTTTTTTGTCTTTGAATGCTGTGATCAAAGCAGGCTCAGCAACATCTTCACAATTTTCTCCCAAGCCTAATCGTCCATATTCTTTTCTGCCAAGTGAGTAAACTTGGCCTGGAGAGAAACATAAATAGAAATATAATTAAAAACAAAAATAAATAAAAACAACAACAACAAAAAACAAAGTCAACAATCCTCACCACTGGTATCTAGAGCGAGTGTGTGATGCTGTCCACCAGAAATCTGACTCCAATCATGTAAACTCAAGGGTCCAGAAACAGAGGGATGGAAGTGGGTCCTCTGTTCCTTAAGACCTAAACCAAATCAAGACAAATATAGACATCTATAACAGAATTGATACAAACCAAGGTTTCACAGTCAGAGGGAGAAGATGACCAACCTAATTGATTGTAGTTATTTAACCCAAACACATAAATATGGTTATTCTTATCTTTGGCAAAAGTGCCATAAGTAGCAGTCCATATGTCAACAAATTCTGGTTTCTTGGTTGGCTTGAAAGGAACTGGCCCAGGTACCAACAAGTTCACTGCAAACAAAGTCAAGAGATGCGTGTTGTAGATTTGATTTCAGATATGCCACACTAGACTGGAATAGACGATACATACCCATGCCCTGCCGGCTCATCCGGTCAGCCCCTCGCTCCGAGACTCTGCCAAGCTGGCCCTGTTCTCCACAACCAACAGTTTGCATCTGACCATCTTCAGTCAACATTACAAGATGATCTGCACCTGACGCTATTTTAACAATAACTGTCCCAGTTACAAGTTCAATAGGCTTCTTCTCTCCCCCTTGAAGAGTCAGGCCCATAGTGCCGTGGGAGTCCTTCAAAGAAAAGCAACACATTAAATATTGCAAGTTGAAATCAGAATAAGATAAGATTCCTAAACAAGAAGAAACTTACTCGGAACGAGCCCCAGGCGAAGACTCTACCGTCCTCGAGAAGAGCGGCGGAGTGGGAATCCCCTGCAGTTATCTGAACCACAACTCCTGGAAGTGAGACCAGCCCAGGTTCTGTTTCAGAACCCTCTTCACTAGTGTCTCTTCCTAGAGCGCCTTCATCATTACAACCAAAACTTGAAACCTATAAAGCAGAGTTTTTGAAGTCAATTGCAGAAACAAAGGAAAAATTTTAACTTGTGCAAAATGAGAAATGAGAAATACCTCTCCGTTCTTATTAAGGCATATAGTGTGCATTCCACCAGCGCACATGTCTGTGAGATCGTCAAGTTTGGGAACCAAAGTAGGTCGTCCACGTTCCATCACATCAGGTCCGAGACCGAGTTGCCCGACATCACCTTGCCCAAATGTCAGGATCACTCCTGAATCCAAAGTTGGAAATCTTCTCTCAGGGTGCCCCAATGAAGCTGGAAATGAAATGCAGCATTAATAAATAAGGACTGATAGAAATTATGTTCAGATACTTAATCATAGAAAGAGCTGGACTCACTTTTTGCCTTCTTAGCAGCTTTCGGGCCTGAGCCTGATTTAGCAGGAGGCAAACTTCTCCTAAGACTTTGACGTTTTCTACTGGTCCCATTCATGGTGAAACGCTGCAAGGCATAAACGATAACAACACATAAGAACACGAATATGCACGAGTGGAGGGAGTCAATTTGAGAAAAGCTGATCAAAACAGTTGCAATTTAAGATTTAACAAACAGGTTATGCAGGGCGTTAGTCAAACACATACAGCAGATGTTTGAACAAATTAACAACATACAGGGCTTCGTAAGATGGAAAAGAAACTTGGGAATTTTAACTTTAAAAGTAGGCTAAAGGCAACACTAAACTGAACGTTCAAACGGCGCTGTGGCAGTTGATAGCATTAGGGATATCGGACGCTGGACCCCAAGACAGCAAGTGCACCGGAGGTACTAAGCCGTAGTACTCTTTCGCATAACTATGTAGAGTAAAGTGGCAAATCGGCTTTCAAGAAGCAAATCAAAGGAAATAAGGCAATCCTCTGACAACACTGAATCAGCAAAGATTTATTACTCAACAATCCACTAGGTCAGGTTAGAATCTAGGTATAAAATTTGCGGAAGATAACTTCTGCCATCATTACGACGGCTTGAACCAAGAAACGATGGTTAGGGAAAGAGCTTAGAGAAACGAAAAGGATAACAACAAACCTGATTAAATGACAGATTCTGGACGAATGCACCACCACTCAGAAGATGCGCACGTTTAACGGTGATCACAGCGCAACAATTGGCGCCGGCGATTTGAGAAATGGCTGCCAACTTTCGATTTCCACTGAGTATTTAAAAATGTCTGACGGTTGTGGAAACTGCCCCACAAATCTCTGCGACAAGAAACAGACACTGCCTGATGATAATCTTGAATAAAGAGCAGTAATCACACCATTTGCATTTTTCGGCAGTAATTTTCAAAGTCCTTAAAATATTTTAAATTTTTTTCGAGAAAACCGAAAACGGCAGAAGTTTTGGCGCGAGTACCTCGATATGAGAAACTGATGGGGTACAAGTTCTCGTTTTATGACAAATTTCGTGACGGAGCGTACTTCCCCAACTTCCCCTTCCCTTCCGCTTCCCCACAGTACAAACCACACAAACACCCAAACACGCTGCGGTCGCGGTATCTTTATCTCTGTTTGCTCCGGATTATGTCGCTGATTTGTGGCTCTATATAAAAAGAAGCTGGGGTTTCAACAAGGGGCAATGAAACTAGTGGGATGTTCCTGCCATTAATTCATTATTTGTTTATTTTTAAAGGGTTTTTAAAATTTATGCAAAAAATAATTGAAATCTTAGAAATTGATCTCGAGATACAAGAGGTAATGACTGAGTAGTTTCGTACTGCTGATAGTCGGCTCGATCCGGTGTCTCTGTCGCAAGGGGCGTCCCGTGGGAGTGCGACAGAGACAGAGCGACGAAGTGACTCTTCGCACTCGCTTTGACGGGTGGCGCGGTGCTGCGGACGCAAACGCGTCAACGGCTTCGACTTTCGCTCTAGGAGGAAGAGGTGAAACTGAACTGTTCGCATTGACAACCGGCGCGACGGCGAGGGACAGAGAGAGACAGAGCGGGGCGGGCCTGGCGGGCCGGCCGTGCGAGCGAGACGGCAGAAGGGAGAAAGTGCACTGCACGTGTCGAGTGCAAGTGACCGCTCAGACCGACGAGTGCCGCCGCACCGCAGTGGCCACCCTAACGGCCACACTCGCCGTCTCTGTCCCACCCATGGGGAACCTCCTGTGGCCCGACAGAGACAGCGTAGCCTCCAACACGATTGCTTTCGGTGTGTCAAGAAAAGGCAGCGTCACTCTTTTGACTTGAGTGTCTCTGCTTGTTGTTTCTCGTAGTATTGGCGATCATCCTCCTCCGCACACTGATTCCGTACAGTGCTTTCGCTGCTCCGTCTCACACTCGCGGTGGGGAGTGCGAGAGAGACAGAGCGGCGAAAGCACTGTACGGATTCAGCCCGCGGCTGCGTGAAAACTCGTGCTTCCGTTCGATCGCTTTTAACGTCCACCCGCACGCGCTGCTTCCTTTCACTTTTTAAAGGCCGCTCTGCGTAAGAAGGCTGAAGAAGGTGAGGTTCTCGCTTACCCCCTCCCCTCCGGCCAGTCAGCAGGCCGAGAGGCCTCGCCGCACAGCCCGCCCCGCCAATTTATTCAAAGTCTTTATCTATTTCCATTTTAGTTTTTGGCTTGCCGACCGGCGGCCGTGGCGGCGTGCCAAAATATAGGAAGTGTCGGTGGAGCGTGTGGAGCGTGCGTTCTGCTGGCTCCGGGATGTGTATCGGATCGACGAGGTCGGAATGCCACCGGCACCGTTACCTCAAGTACGTGTTTGTCCGAACTGAGCGGAGCGGATGTTTTCCCAGTGTGCGCACGCGCACGGTGTGGTGCAGTGTGGTAGCGAAAGGAGGTGGGAGGGGCGGTGGATTACTTCCGAAGCAATAAAACTTTGTAATCAGAAGAAGCTTGTTTTCCTTTTTCTGACGAGGATGAAGATGATAACAACGTTTGGTGATGAGATGACTTAGATGAATAAAAATGATAACAACTCATGTAACTCCAGCACTCTGCGGTCATGGCCTGACTATCGTCCTATTCTTACAAAAATAAAAAAGTCTTTTTTTTTCTTGTAGGGCGATTGCCGTTTAAGTCAAATTTCTGCAGAATTTGAACTCGACGGGTCGTAAGTCGAAAATAATTCCACACGACGCGAAGCTCGCGCCTTCTCCTCTCTCTCACACACACATACACTAATTACTACACGACGACTTTCTAGCCCTGGTACAGGGCCGAAAGGATATCACAAAACAAGGACGGCGAAACGCGTCCAAAAGTAAGGAGGCTGCAAGGAGCCCCCGCCGCTGCCGAGAGTTGAGTGTCGCCCCCTGGCGGTCCTGGCGGGAACTAAACCCCGCGACAGTTCGAAAGTTGGCGCGCCACGCGCGGAAACGCAGTGGAACGTGCCTGGGCGGGCGAGGTGGTCGCAGCGGTCTCACCTCGACGGCACCCAAAACAGTCTTATTGCACTCTTGCACTGCAGGAGTGACCACATATCTCCCCTCTCGCGCGGCGGCAGCGAGGTTCTAGTCTGACCCCCTCCGTTGTCCAGGCGGTTACTTCTTGGAGTTGAAGCCGTCGCCGGTGGGGTCGAGGATCCAGGGGTAGTTGTTGGGGCACTCCATGCAGGTGAAGAGGCGGACGGTCTCGCCGGGCAGCTCCCTGGTGGTGAGCGGGCAGGCGTTGGGCAGCGAGCAGTAGGGCTGGCCCTTCACGTCGCACTTCTCCTTCCACTCGGCGAAGTCCCTCAGCGAGGTCAGCTCGGTGGGGTTCTGCATCCACTGGATCACCTGCGGACACAACACGCTCGTCAGTCACACTCTACGGGTCCACGCGACGCATCCCGTTGGCCTGGTTGCATAGGAATGGACAGGTGTACTGCCGTACCTCATTTGAATACTGTCCTGGTGTTGCAGCTGCACTGCGATGACGCCCCCCTCCCCTTTCTCCCTGTCTCTCTCGCACATTATGCAACGCACCGTTACGCGGTCTTGGCCGCGATAACCGGTCGCCGCTTTGCGGAAAGGACATAAACCATTTCCTTTTTCTCTTTTCCTTTTCCCCAACCGGTTGTCAACACATCTTTGCGAACCCATGAGCCTTTTTTTGCGTCATAAGTTTCACAATTATTTTTTTTTCGGGGCAGCCCGATAACGCGGTGAGGTAACGCGCTTCGCTTTCATCCGCCAAACGTCTCCGTCTCCGGGAGCCTCACGATCCGCGGAGACGCGGCGCGGCCGGGCTCCGGGGAAGCGTCTGGAAACCGCGTCCCGTCGCGCGTTCTAGGTTAGGGGTCGGCGGCGCGGGGGTGAAAGTTACCTGGAGCATGGTCACGAAGTAGACGTCGTTCTTGTCCAGCATCTCCTCGATGAACTTGATGAGCTCGTCCCTGAACTCCTTCTTGCTCTTGAGCCAGGAGGCGTGGAAGTGCAGGCCGAGCGGGGCGCGGTTGGTGGAGTAGTGGCGGTTGAAGTTGTGGCGCAGGAGGCGTCCGAACTGCTCGCCGGTCTGGATGTTGGAGCACGAGTCCACCATGTGGCAACCGGGCAGGGACTCGTCGAAGGTGGGGTCGTCCCTCCTGTCCAGCTCGTTCATCACCATCTCCCAGACGGGGTGCGACCTGCCGCAACAAAGTCCGTTAGAACCGCGCTCAGAATGACATCACCGCGGCCGGGGTGAACTGCGGTCACGCAGGTGGCTGGAACCGTGGTTTCGTCGCTGTCCCCCTCGCACTCACGGGGTGGACCAGGGGTGCGAGGGAGACGGAGCGACCGGGCGGGGGCACTGACCTTGAGGGGCAGTTCTGGGCGTTGCCGTTGCACTTGTGGGGCATGCGGAAGTACAGGGTGTAGGGCCAGATGGGCACGCGGCCCAGCGAGGCCGTGATGGAGGCGTCGTACACGAAGAACTGGTCGGCCATCATCTCGAACTGCTTGTTGCCGCCGACGCGCAGGTAGGGCGCGCGCACGCCGATGATGGAGCCGTCGGTGATGTTGGAGAAGCGCTCGATGACGAGGCGCGCGCCGGCCATCTCGGCCAGCCAGTCGTCGTAGGAGCCGCCGGTCCAGTAGTTGGGGTCGTCCTTGTGGGTGAGCGAGAACACGCCCACCTCGTGGCCGCGGCGGTGCAGGTCCTGCAACACGTCAACGGCGTTACGACGCGTTGCGCTAGCGATACCCCACGCGGCCGGCGGCAGCGTCTTAACCTTAAACTAGAGTCTCTCGCGCGGGGAGTACCGACGCCGCGACCCGCCACTCACCTGCAGCGCGGCGTAGTTGGTGTACTTGTGCGACGCAAAGAAGGTGCCCCTGATCTGACAGCTGTTGGGGTTCTGGCGCTGCCCGTTGAAGATCTCGTCGTACAGGTCCACGTTGTCCACGTTGACGGCGCCGTTGAAGGTGATGGTGATCATCTGGGGCACCTGGTTGGTCTCGATGTTGCCGGGGATGCGGGTGCCGTCCGGAGAGCAGAAGCAGTCGGGCAGCGAGCACTGGGAGGGGTCGCAGTCGGGGGCGCGGTTCGGGTCGGTCTCAACCGCTGCAATTCAAATTTAAAAAAAAAAATTAAAAATACATTTTTGAAAACTTAAAATTAGTGAAAAGTGGGGTTGAGTGTACTCACAGCAGGCGTTCTCGTCGGACTCATCCTTGCAGTCGGGCTTGTCGTTGCAGAAGAGCTCCTTGTCGATACACTCGCCGTTGCCGCAGGACAGCTTGCCCTCGGGGCACACGGGCTCGTCCGTCTTGAGGCGGGGCAGCACCTTGCGGGGCTCTGCAAGCACGGCCGTGGCGTTAGCGGGGGCTCTGCGGCGCCGCGGCCGCGGCTGTCACGGGGTGTCCGGGGGAGGCCCTCTCAGCCAATCAGCGACGTTGCAGCCGACGCCTGCGCGAGGCGCCCTTAATTGCTTTCGCTACTCTGAGAGGCTCCCTCCCCGTTTCGGAACGCCCGTGCCCGTCCGCGGTCGCCGCACCGCGACTCGGTAATCGGATTTACTTGAACGGGAAGGCGAGAGGTAAGGGAGGCGGAGGGCCTCGAGAACATGTACAAGAGCAGCCGAGAAGAAGCTCGAAACGGACTCTGTGAAGTGTGAAGCGGTGAAGCGGGGAAGCGGTGCACAAGAAGGCGAGGCATGCAAGCGGTGCGGAGTGTCAACTTGAAGCAGCCTTTGCCAGACTGCGGACTGCCTGAAGTGGGCACGCAAGTCGAGGCCGACTCTGCGTTGCCGGTGCGACGGTGTGCGACAGAGACAGTGGCATTCTCGGCCAAGTTCAAGGAGCCCCTGCCGCGTGGCGGGTAGGCAGTGTGGCGACACCGGAGCACGATGTTGCCTACCCCGCAGGGGCTTCTGCCTGCTCCCTGGCTTCAGGACCTTCAGGGCCGCGCGGCAGGGCGTGCATGGATAGCGTGCATGTTTACGTTTCGCGAACGACGTTGGATTTTAAAAGAAGCGGTTTGGTGCTTTACGAGCTCGTGCAAACGGGGCTCACTAGGATATGCAAAGTAGTGGAGGTTGCCAACTGCAGAGCTTCAGACGCAGCGCGGCTGGCTGGCCTCGCTGCTGCACTGCTCCGTGTCTGTGCGGTGGTTGGCACCCCTAGTATGTACTAATCCGCCGCCACCTCTGCAATGCAGTGTAATGCAGTGTCTACACTTACTGTCCAAACGGTTACAGTTGTTCACTTTGCCCTTCCAGTCACAAGTTTGCTTATCAACGTCGAACGCTAGACCGGACGGGCAAGTGATTTGCTTAATACCAGCCTTAGTGCACCTGAAGAGGACAGCCAGAAGAAGAATCAAATCATTAGTGGAGCCGAAAGAGGCAGCGAGGAAGGCGCCGGGGTTGGGGTGGAGTGGCTGACGAGGCCGAGCTTGGGGTGGAAGGTCGAATTAGAAACGAGGGGCAACATTGAGACGCGTTCGGCGCGTGGAAGCGCGGCAACGCGACGTCAGTGGAGAGAAGTGGCCGCGGCGATATCCCGCGCGCGAGGGACCGGCCGCGCCGAACGCTAGAGGCGTCCCTCGCGCGCGGGGTATCGCCGGCGCCCGTTCCCGCCGCCGACGGTACGGGGGGAGTTAGTGTTTGGAACGGCGGGACAGGGTCGGGAAGGCGGGTGCGCGCCAATGCGGCACTGAAAGCTGCAAAGAACCGAAAAGAGACGAAACGAAAGAGGAAGGAGAGACACACACAACGGGCACAGGCCGGCCGGCAGGCCTGGCCTACTTACTCTCGAGTTGGTTACAATTTTTCACATTGGTTTTCCAGTCACAAGTCTGGCGCTCAATATCAAAAGCTAGGGCGTTGGGGCAACGCACTCCAGCGAGGCGGGTCACGCCGTTCTCGGTGGCGCGGTCGCACCTGCGGGGGACAGAACGGTTTTAAAAGGGTCCCGGAGAAACGTTACTTTTTGGAAAAGTTAAACTTTTTTTAAAATTGATTTTTTTACGCTGGGAAGGGGCTTGTCGAGGCCTTGAAAGAAAGAACGGTATTCTCGAGGGCCAATGGCCACAACATAACACGCTAAATTTGCTGCAGGTAAAAGAACATGGTACGCAGAAACTCCTCCTTTCCCGACAATGACGTCGAATTATTGCAAGTCAGAGAACACATCCAAAACGCTGCAAAGTGGCCCACCAAAATAAAACTTGTGATTGACTCGTCAGAACAGCGGGCAGGAGCGCTTACCTGACGACGTCCCTGCAGTCGCCCTCGGTGGTGAGACGGAAGTATTCGTCTGGCGGCCTGTTCTCGCAGAGCTGCTCGGCCGTCTGCTTGTCGTCCAGGTCGGCGGGGTCCTTGTCGTCCTGCCGCCTCTCCCTCACGAGCTCGGCCGCGAGCGCTGCCAACACACAAACAGTCAAATGGGGCCGAGGAGACTTCGACGCGCGAGGGAGCCAAAGCGCGGCAACGGAAGCTGAGTCCGAACGCGCGCTCTGTCTCTCTCGCACCCTCACGGCGCACCTCACGAGTGCGAGAGAGACAGAGAGGCACCGCTTTCGTCTTGCATCAGCAGCGCGTTCTGCAGCGCGGCGAGGCCATTATCCGCAGCCGCGCGTCACTGCACTGCACGACGATATTCGCAGGGCGACGCATTGTTGGCGCAACGGGATGCCCAGTGTAGTGGCGTTGGCTGCGTTGCCCACGCGCGCCGACGGAGTCCGGAGGGAGTTCAAGGAGCTTGCCGCCCAGTCTCCGACGGGGACCGTTTAGCGAGTCAGATCGGACGGAGTGAACTTTACACCCAAGCCGCTTGCCGACGGCTGCTTGCAGCTTGCCCCACCCCGTTGACATTCTATTCTTCCCTGAGGCCTTGGGCGGCCCTGGGCCGTGGAGCCTCCGCCGTGGCGAAAGGCGCAGCCACCGAGCGTCGAAAAAAAAAAATTACAAAAATCAAGCCTTTTTTCTGACAGTGTAGGGCCCGCCTCGGGATGTGTGATGTAACTGTATGGGTAGTGCCGGCTGACCCGCGGGTACCCCCTCCCCTCCCCACTCCACTCGCGCGCGTGGGGGCCCAGCCGGCCCCAGCCCGGCCGACCTCACCCCAAAGGGGTACCCGGCATGCCCCGAGCCGGACTGGTCTGCCCGGACGGGTATCGCGCTGTTGTTGGACCGATTCGTAATGCCGTCCGAAACGGTTCGGAATCGTCTCGCACTCTCACCCTCACACACGCACACACACTGACACACACTCGTCATTGCGACACGCCGCAAACAACAGCACCATCTGGCTGACAGGCGGAACACGCTTGGTACACCTTGCTTCGCGCGCGGTGACACTGTAAGTGCACAGTGCACCGCGGCCCACGTTTTTTTTTTACACCGCGAGGGGATTTGAACCCGAGGGGACTGACCCGTCCCGCGAGCCCTGTAAGCTCCTACACTCTCACCGCGCGGCCGACATCAAGGCACCGACTCGTTACATCACAGTGGCGGCGACAAAACAAAACAAAAACGGGCAGTATTACGCGGGCTGACACTCACTTTTCGGGTGGGGGGATGCTTTCGGGATTTAATTATGACGACAAGCACCGCGAAACATGAGTAGTTTCGGTTGTATCATTAGCTGCAGATTTTGACACCCAAAGACACTTTTTTTCTGTTTCTGCATAATTGCACTCAAAAGTGTTTCAAGTTTAAAACTTGCTGCTGTGACTAAAATTTTAACGTTCGTATTTTCCCTTATGACTTCTAAAAATATATCGAAACCGCCGAAATGTAATTTTTGTTTTGTCCGTGAACGACTTGACGTGATAAAAACCTCGGGGTCCTTCTGATCATCTTCGGGTGCTGCGCACAATGCGCACTCCACTGCACTGACCTGCGCTGAGCGCGACGCAGGCGAGCACGAGCGCCGTCCTCGCCGTCCACGTCGTCATGGTGGTCTGGCTGGCTTGCTTTCTCGCGCGGCGAGTCTGCGTCCGGCGGGGAGGTGAGTCGGCGATCAACTGCCGAGGGGCCTGCACTGCGCACTGAAGCAAGGAAGCTTAGGCACAACTTTTTATTTATATATATATAGCCACCCCGCCTTCCCCCGCGCCTTGCCCCGCCGGCCCGCGCCGCCCTGCGCCCCTGCAGCCCCCCACCGCGCATGCGCCGTGGGCCGCGGGCCCCGCGTGGGGCGCCGTGGGGAGGGGGCGCTGCGCTACCCCGCGCCCGCCCCGCCCCGCCCCGCCCCGCCCCGCCCCGCCCCGCCCCGCCCCGCCCCGCCTCGCGGACTCCAGGGGCGCTGCGAGCGACGCGGTGGCCGCGCAGACAACTGCTGCCCCCTGGCGGCCGGCCGGCGAGGCCGCTCGCGACACCGCGCAGTGACATCACGACGGGCGCCTCGCTGTTGTCGCCGGCGTTCTGATGCTGCAGGACGATTCCGAACAACGCCTCCGGTCTCTCTCGCACCCTGACAGCACGCCCCGTGAGTGCGAGAGAGACAGAGCGACGAAAGCGCTGTTCGGATTGCTGCTGCCGGCGGCGGACGTTGAGGCAACCGCACGTGGGCGCTCGTCTGCCACTGGCCGCGACTTGCAGGACTTGGAGGCGGAGTCCGTCCCGGTGCAGCCAGACGCGCGTCTTGAAGCTCGCCGAGTTCGCCCTCGGCGCTGGACTTCCCTGCGGGCGGGCGACTGCGCGCCCTCCCCTCCCCTCCCCTCCCCCCACTCTCCCCTCCCCTCCGCCGCCTTCCTCCATAAAGCGAGGAGGCTCCGCACTGGCACTTTCACTTGTTCAGAAGATGTCTGTTGGTTCATACCGCTCGGAAGCGAGACATTATTTTTCCCTCCCAATTGAGACGTAAAGACCGTCATTTACAGTGTGGCAGGCTCCAGCTACTGCTCCAGCTGCTGCCCGGGCGCCGCCGGGGCGCCGAAGAATAACGTCCTCGTCGCCCGTTTCTCCGCCGGCCTTTTGAATGGTCGCATTGCGAAAGTGGTGGCAGGAGGCACCCATCGGTCCGTTTGCCGACGCCTCTCGGCGCCCTCTGGTGCACAGTGGGCCAGAAGACCGGCGCGGGCGGCCAAACCTCCAGACGCGTTTCGAGCTGCAGAGTCGCCAAGCAGGACTCGAACCGAACGTGTGACCCCACCAGTGGATTCCTCGTTCGGAGAGCAATCCATTGGTGGGGTCACACGTTCGGTTCGAGTCCCATTTAGCGACTCTTATGCTCGGACGCGGCGTGGACGCGGATTGCTATGGCAGGGACGCGTCGTCGGGGAGCGGTCGCGCAGCCCGGACGCGCGTGCCGTGTGCGTCGCGTGTAGCGTACGCGCGTCTCGCGGGGCGGGGACGGACGCACGGACACGCCGACGACGCACGCACACGACAAAAACAAAACGTGAGCGCGCTACGCGGCGCTGCGGGTATTCGAACCCGGATCAGTCGGACGTGCCCGGAGTGACGCGCCAAGCGCCATCCGCGCGACGTGACGCGTCGCGCCGTCGCACCGCGCCTGCAGTCGTCGCTCTGTCTCTCTCGCACTCCGATGGCTCACGCCTGGAGTGCGAGAGAGACAGAGCACCGGCCGGAGGTCGGAGCCAGATGACCATCGGGGGCCATTACCGCTAACGGTAAATCAATCAGGCGCATGCGACTACCGGGAGCGGGGTTGATCCAGGCCTGCCGCTGTCTGTCTCTCTCGCACTCGAGGGCCGTGCCCTGCGGGTGCGAGAGAGACAGACACTGGAGCGGGCCGAACGGCGCGGAGGTCGCGGAGGCCCTTGTCTCCGCAGGGGCAGCGCGAAAAATGGGGTGGGTGGAGCCATGTCGGCCGAGCCTGGACACGTTCGGCCGATATTAGACTCGGCCTCTCATTGGCAGTCCAACTTTGCCTTGGCAGCAATTATCCCCCAGGCCTTCTGGAAATGAAACGCGACTCTTCTCCGATCCCCTCGTTCTTTCCCCCGTTTTTTTCTCTGTCTTTCTCTCTATTTTTTTCCCGACACCCGCCGGCCGGGGGCGACCAGCTGTGAGAGTTAACGGTGTGGCTTATCGAACATCTCGCGTCTGCGGCCACACCGCCAAATTCCGCAAAACGCACGCCACACGTGCTGCATCCGCTACATCCTTTAACGGGCCGCCACCGTGGCCGAGAGCGCAGAGGCACCGACTCCCAACCCCAAGGACCGGCGTTCGAAACCCACCATTTCTTCTTAAATTTTTTTGGCTTCTAAAAGCGTAAAAAACAGACGTAAATTTTTATCAGTAAGACTCTTTAAAATAAGCAGCTGGGCCTCCACTTTTTATTTAAAAAATCTCATTCAACGAACGTTAATGAAAGCAGATGATCCGTCGCGTTTCACAACTGCTGTGATAGCCGAGAGGTTAGAAACGTGGGATCGAGTTACCGCAGGCCGGCGTTCGAATACCAGCGTCACAAAAGTTTTTTCGACTTGCTATCCTAAGGGTGGTGGTTCGAGGCCATGAGAGCGGAGCCGTGTGCAATAGGCTGCCGGAGGTTCGACTCCTAACAAATATTTCCATTTAATTTTACTGCCTCACCCAGTGCGGTTCAAACCCGTAAACGTGAGCCCACTCCGAGCATGGAACGTGGTGGTCCAGGGAGTAGAGGCGTCGATTCTCAGTGCTAGGGTCGGCGGTTCGACTCCCCCAACTTCTTGCGAAATTTTGACCGGGTCGGTCGAGTCCTGTTGCCTCAAGAACCCACCTCACGCCGGTCCCCTCATCATGGGCCGTGGTGGCCGAGAGCGTAAAGTCGTGTGATCCCGATGGCGGGGTCCGGGGATCGAATCCCATCATTTCATTACATTTTTCGACCGCCTTCCTCCCAGTGCAACTCAAACCCGTCGTCCAACACGCTGCCAGACGTACAAGCGTGATAGCGTAGTGGTCAGAGTCACATTCACCTGGCCACTCCGCTGTGGGTGTCTAAAAAGCAATCCGCTTCGGCGGGTTGGCCTCGGCACTGGAGCGATGGAGTATTTGATCCATCAATCCAGACCATCCGGTGTGTGGTTGCGGGTGGTGCCTCCTTGACTCGTCGGGGAGGCGATGATAAGTCCTTTGAAGCTGGCCTAAAACGCTGTATGTTCGGTACGGGAGCGCCGGACAGTGGGGGTACCATGGGGTACACAACCAACCCTACGAAAACAAGAAGCTCCCACCAAACCTCTTCTCTGTCTGAGTCTCTCTCTGTCTCTCTGTCGTCTCACTCTACGTCCCGCCCCTCAAAGAGCTTCGTACTGGGTGCTCTCACCCAGCTGCCTGAGCTTTGGGGTCCTACTGGGTCCCCCGGCGAACGCTTGGGTCGCTGACGGGATTAACCCCAGGTACCTGATAGCACCGGTTCCCATCCCGAACACCGAAGTAAAGCAGGAGGCCTCCCCATTAAGACTGGGGAGGGGGTGTAGAGTTCAAATTTTTTCTTTTCCCTTTCAAATTTCTCGGTTAATACTCGTTTGGTTTCCTTATACGGGGTACTATGCGGGCTCATTCCAAAGATAGTAATTAAAATTGTGTACTGCTAAAAATTTTCAATTTAAAAATAAATTTCTGACGCGGTAGGCATTGCACTGTAAAGCAAGCACTGTCAATCATTTTCGCGTTCGGCCACTCCTGTTGAGAATGTTCCCGCGCTATTGACATGTGTCCCACTGCTCACGCGCCTCCGCGCCATTCAAACACACGGCGGGGCGGGGCGGGGCGGGGCGTAGCACGGGTAGACGTCGACCATACTGATGCAGTTAGTTTCATCCTGACTCACGGCCCGCTCTAACGGCGTACTGCACCGCCCCCTTCCCCGCAGTTCGCACCTTCCTTTTGCAAGCGCTATTGTGTGCGAGGACCGTCTAGGAGCTAATAGTTTTTTCTCCTCTCTCTCTCCTCTCTCTCTCTCTCTCTCTCTCTCTCCTGCTTGCAGTCACACTCTCACACACAGACACATATACTATCTCAGCACGTTCGCACCTGATGGAAACACACACATACAGCACGTGTCTGAAAATAATCACTCACCGTGTGCAATTGAAGAGGGATAAAATGATGGCGGCTTCGTTGTACACGTCGCCCCCAGCCATTGTGAAAGGCGCGCGCGCGTCTGTGTGTAACTGTGTAAGTGTGCGCGCGTGTGTGTGGTTAGCTGACTCCACTTGGGCGTGTAAGCCACAATTGACGATTGTCGATTGTCGTCTCGGACGAGGATCTCGATAGGTGTCGCTGCTGTCGCGCGCCGCATCAGCCCGAAGGCCCTAGGTATAACGTTTGCCTCGTTGTTGTTGTTGTTGTTGTCGTTGGCATGCAAGTGTAAAGTTCAAACGAGTAGGGGCCAGGGGGCGCCACTAGCGCCACGTGTCAATGGCCTTCGAACCTTTCTTTTCCTTTCATGCATGCGCTGTCTTCGTCTGTCTCGGTCTTCGCCCCGCGGCGTCCCGGCGTTGCGTCTTCGTCTAGTCACCGGGGCGCCGTCCGGGTGTAGTCCCCCCGCGGCGCGCATACAAAGTCCGCACGGTCTCGTTGTGCGGAGGGGCAGTGCAGGCTGTCTCTCTCGCACTCGCGGGGCGGGGCGCCTGGGCGAGACAAAGACAGAGCGAAGAGAGCGAGGTGCCCCCTTGCGAACGGCCCTTTGCAGTGTGCTCGTCTTTCCACGTTGCCCCTTCGCTTTGCCGCTGCTGCGCTGACTTACAGTGCCCCCACGTGTCTCAACATGGCGCCTGTGCGGTGTTGCCGCATACGTGTCGAAAGGGTTGCCAACCCCAGCCTGGGCAACCTCTCGAGAGCAAAGCTGTCGGGCGGACTGCCTCGCTGCGGAATCGCCAGTCGGGGTGACTACTTGTTGAAGCGGATTCCTGGCGTTCGTCGACTTGCTCTGTCGAACGAACGCGCGACGCGACGGTTGGCAGACTTGGCTCCGCGCCCCGTCACGTCGCCGCCGGGTGGTGACCCTTTGCTGTCTCTCTCAGGTCTCTCTCGCTCGTGACAGTGAAACGGTGCCTCGCTGTCACGGGGAACTCTCGGCCGATCGC